CACGCCTGCGTGGGGCCCAGGCGGGCTAAGGCCGTGGGCTTTGCAGGGGGGCTGATGTGCTGGGGCCTCAGCCCTGGGCGCCACCCCTCCCTCCCGGGCCCGTCCCTCCCTCCTGTCCCGTAAGAGCTACAGCTCTTTCTGCTTCCAGGGAGCGTGAGATGGAGCTGGTCGGGACAGCAGGAAGAGCGGGTTTGCTTCCACGGGTGTGACGTTCGGTGACCACTGCTGTGGGTGCCTGCCTTTCCACGGTTTACGACCCATGGGGGATTTGATGAATTTATACTTACAGAATGACAGACTCGCTGAGGACACTGAGGTGACCGGATTGTGTACGGGGAGGTGAACGTGCTGCTGTGATTTAAGGACCCCGTCATTGTGCTGAGGGGAAGGGAGCTTGGGATAGGGTGGATCAGAAGCGGAGGATGGCTCCGTTCCAGCCCGGCTCTGTACCAGCTTGCTGTGTGAGGGTCACTCCCCTTCTCTCTGTTATTTATGACCCTGTCTAGATCTAAAATTAGGTAGTTCTGGGAATTTTGAAGATGTAAACCTTGGTGGTTATTTAGAGGGCTCTTAAAATTTCTCTTGAAGATAATAATGTTGACTTTGGAAGGTGCACCACCTGGCCTCCCTCCCGCCCCCGTCAGCTGGCTCACTCCGTCAGGTCCGTGTCTCTGTCTGCTCTGCAGCCCAGACACTTGGCCGGATCTGGCCTGGCTCAGCGTCTGGCAGACTTGGTGCTGTAACTGTGGGGCTGTGTCCTGGGGGGGGGCAGGGTGCCTGGGGATCCCCACACGGTGACCAGGTCCCGAAGGAGGGGTCGGCATTGTTCCCACTGGGTTGCTGGGGAATCCAGCTGCCTGCCTTGCCTTACCCAGCAGCACTGCCTGGGTCTTGAGTGTTCTGTGCATGTGTCACAAGGGCCGTGGCCTTCCTTGAGCAGCGAATGCAGGTGTGTGGACCGGGGCTGTGCAGGTGACCACAGGGCAGAGATGGAACCTGCCCAGATCAGCGTGGTCCTCCAGAGATCCGAAGCCCCAGGGCCAACCAGCCAGCCACGATTGGGTGGGGGAAGGGCTGAAAATACCTTCTAATGAGATAAAGGTGGTGGTATACCCCACCTCACCCCTCCCAGTGGCCAGGGTCAGGGGAAGCCTACTATTTGAGAAGGGACCCAGGGCCCAGGAGATCTGGCAGGGAGAGTAGTCTTAATTGTAGAGTAGCACGGGACACTGCCCTGGCTTAGGGGACACCGGGACTGGGGGCATTGAGGACAAGGTCACCTCCTGTTGGGTCTCCGGCCATGAGTGACCTGGTGGAATCCGGAGGCGTGTTATGGGTTCCAGGGCCCAGAGAGCAGGTCCTGAGAACCCATGTCTGGCATGCTCTGAGAGCCAGGGGTGAGGGCCCCTGTAATTCGGGGCCCCGTGTGGCGCTTCCCCACTGGAGGGTGGCTCCTTGTCGCAGGCAGGCTCAGTGCCCACGGGGAGGGGCTGGGCTGGTTTGAGGAGAAAGATGGGATGCGGGCAGGCAGGCGCTTCCACGGCCACCTAGTGAGTGGCCACCTAGACTTCCAGGAGTCACTGCTGCCAGTGCCACCGGAGTCCCCCTGGCACATGGCCCAGACCCTGCAGGACGGAGGCCAGGCCGCCGCCTCCCTGTCACATTCCAACTCCCTGGAACTCTGCCTGGTAGAACCTCGTCTGCACTGGAACTCTCACTGCAAAGGGGTCTGGGAAATGTAGTTTCAGCTCCAGCTCCCAGGCTCTGCAGAACAGGAAGGGTGGGAACAGCCTGAAAGGGCTAGAGCCTGAGCCAGCCCCACAGGTGCCCACCACTGCCGGATGACCCCGGTCACGGCAGGGCCCCATGTCAGCACCAAGCTTTGGTGTCATGACGCCTTGGGTGGCTTGCGTGCACACTAGTGATTCTCAGGCAGAGAGTGGACCCGGGCCAGGCGTGGTGACACATGTCCTCTGCTCAGCCACCGAGGGGGAAAGTGCCAGGACAAGGTGCTGCTGTTGGCCGAGCTCCAGGGCGCAGGGAGCTAGCTGTGCTGGACGCTCTGTGGCGGTAGCGCCTCTCACTCGTCTCCGAGAGAACATGGCCCTAAGATCTCCTTAGCGGGGGTGACGCTCTGCGCAAACCCACAGGCACCTGTCCCAAAGCCAGCAGTGCTTTCCAGCGGGCTGTCATCCTGATGGGAGCTGAGGCTCCTGGCTTCTCAGGAGGTGGCCCTTGCAGGGGAGGGCCGCACATCCCAGGAAGGCAGCCCGCGGGAGGTCTGTGCTGCCAGATTCCTCTCGGGCGCCTGCCACGCCTCTTCTAAAGCATAAAAACGTTCTTTTAGCCCTGGCACAGGCAGTCCTTGGCCGGCAGGAGGGTGGCATCGGGCCTGGAGAGGTCTGGTGGCCTTTTCAGCTCGTGCCGCAGGAGGTCTGTAAACAGGCCCCGGAAGCTTCTGGGAAACAGCTTTCCCATCAGCAATCGAGAAAACAGGTTCACAGGCCTGCACGTCTGGGAAGAGCATCATGGCTCTTGGGATGTGAATCCGGAAAGCACCGGCCGGGATCTTTGATCCCTCCCCTGGCCGCTGTCAGTGTTGGAACTGAATCTCAGAGATGAGCCAGAGCTTGGCGCCGTGTCACTGTGGCAGGTGAGCCAGCAGCTGGCACAGCCGTCGCTTCCCACGGCCGAATCCAGGCCTGGGGCTGTGCCGGGCACCTGTGCCTGGCTCTGCTTCTCAAGTCAAGTGGACAAGCATCTGTCGAGGGCTATGGGAGGCTGGTGGGAGGTGCCATGATGTGCAAGGGACTGACCACGCTGCTTGGGGGCTGGGCTCTGGAAAATTTTCCTGGGGCCACCCAGGAAAATCAGAGCCCATGAGAGGCAGCGACTCTACACAAGTGGAGGTCAGCGTGGACCGAGTGTGCTGTGCCCCACGCTGCCCCTCCCTCGGCCCTACCTGAGGATTTCCATGCAGAGGTGGGAAATCCGCGTCCCTCAGGTTTCTGGTACCCTGATTAAAGTAACAGGAGGCTGCAGCAGAGCCGAATTGTAGAAACGACACCACGGGAGGCAGGGGACTGAGGACTCTGGAATCTGGGTACCCGTGCCTCGAAAGGAACTGTGGCCGGCGCCACGCTTTGTGCTGGGAGAAGCAGCTTCCCTCCCCTCCCACTCCAGCCTCCACAGAACCTTCCTCAGGGGCTGTGTTCCCCTCACTCGCAGCTCGTCATGGCAGGGGGGTGGCCTACAGGGCGCCATCTGCACCTCCCTCTGGCAGCGTCCACAGTGCCTGCACTGAACGCTGTGGCCTGGCCCTCCTTGTCTCCCGTGTCCTCCCTTCCGAGCACAGGGCTTCTGTCTTGACTGGACACGCATTAGGCTGCACGGCCACCCTCTCCGATGGCTGTGCCATCCAAGGGCAGCAGCTGGTAAAGGGGAAACTGGCACTGGGGGTCCTTTCTCACCTCCAAATCTTCCACCCTTGTTAAAAAAAAGTGGGGCTTTCCTCTGAGCGAGTCCTCGGCATGTAATCACTCCTCTGGGGAGGAAGGCTGGTGAGCTGGTGAGTTGAACAGTTCAGGCAGGCCAGCTTGTGTCAGCCCTGCTGTTGCACCCAGCAGTGGGTGCTGACTTTTTAGTAGTGGGTGTCAGAATCTGACCCCAATTGGCGTACGCTTAAGGACAACTGATTGGCTTATATACATGTGCCCTCTTTGGGCCCAGCTTGACCCAGGAGCCCAAATAGCGTGGCAGGAGTCTGTCTCTGCAATCTCAGGTGGGGAGTGCCCACACACCCGGGATGGAGATAGCCTCCTGTGGTTCCAGGTTATTGGTCCATGAATAGAGCCAGCAGAGCTCAGAGACGTCCTTTATCCCAAAGGAACAAGCCCAGGATGGCGCTTCCTTGGCCTAGCCCAGTCACATGCCCATCCCTGAACCAACCACCTGGGGCCCCAGTGGAGGGGCACGGCCAGCCCACACACACACCCACACACACACCCATTGGGCAGGTATGTGGATTCTGGCTGCTGGATTCCCCCAAACCCCCAGGGCAGCACCCAGCTGCACGTGTGCTCTATCGCTTTGACTCCAAGTCTGAGTTTATGTTCTCTGCCGGGACTCCTCGGGGCCTCTTGTTTGTGGTAACATGAGCTGAACTCTCCACATGAGACCGGCTTCGTTCAGGGCAGGCATGTGGAGGCCATCTTTTGCGTTTCCTGGGGACTGTTGAGCTGTCCGGTAAGTGTGTGGCTTCGGTTAGAAAGCCAGCTCTTCCTCTGCCCTCGGGCACTGCTGCCCTTCTCCGAGGAGCCCTGGATGGAGGAGGGTCAGGAACTTTCCAGACGGGGTGCGGGGACCTGCCCCTCCTCACCCTTGGTTTCACACTGTCTTGCATGTAGGCATCAGTTTTCTGGGGCCCATGGAAACGGAATATTGCTGTAAACGGTTGTGGGAAATTACGTTTTAATTGGGTAAGGGTGGGAGCTAGAATGGGATGCCCTGCTGTTCTCAGTGGCCACTTAGGAGGCACTGTGAACACTCCGGAAATCGCCTAACAGACTGCATGAGTGTCAGCCCCTCCCACTTACAAGCTTGCCCTCGGTAAACTGCTTCCCTCAGCAGCGGGGGATCTCACCGGCCTTCCAGTTTAGGTTTTGGGGGTTCTCCTCTGGGAGAAGAGTGTCTGGGAGCTGGGGTGGGGGTGTGAGTGTGTGTACAGCGCGTCTAGCTGAGGACCAGGGCGGGAAAGCAGTGTTAGTGCAAAGCCGGGAGGGTGGGGCTGGCAGGCGGAGTAAGCCAGGGTCTGCTCCTGCTGTGTGCTGCTCTCAGGGCCTGGGCTGCGGAGCTGGACCTGCTCCTGTCTCCAAAGTGGGACCCCAGCCTCCTCCGAGCGCATCCATGCTGGCTCCGAGTTGGTTTCCGGTGTATCTGACCCCCAGGGTGCTCCTGCACAAGCCTGTGGCTAACCCCCCACCTCCTCTTTGTCATTTCAGCTCAACCAGCAGATCTCCTGAAGGTTCTAGATTTTCACAACTTGCCTGATGGAATAGCCAAGACAGCAGGTTTTTGCACAACGCGGCGATCTTCCAAAGGCCCAGATGTCGCTTACAGGGTCACGAAAGATGCTCAGCTCAGTGCACCCACCAAGCAGCTGTACCCCGGTAAGAGACACGCGATGTGAGCCGGGCGGCAGGGACAGCCTCGCCCTCCCGCTCAGCCACGGAGCAGAGCCGGAAGCCTGCGCGTGCCGGGAAAAACATGCTCGGCTTTTCAGAAAGCCCTTCTAATGAGCCCAGTTTGATCTCATTATAGTGGAAACACAGCCCCGGCAGCCATCACCATTCCCCACCAAAGGTGGGCACGGGGGCCTCACTGTTCCCGCTGCTTCTCCAAGCAGGTGTAGCTCCAGGTGCAGACAGGCTGCCAGGACTCCAAATGCAAAAAGGCGATGGGTGGTTCCCAGGGGACGAGGTTAAGGGAAGCCTCAGGGTCACGGGAAAGGAAGCACTTCCAGACACAAGCTTAATTGGGGACAGTGACACCAAGAGACACATGAGTCACACATCACGACTCCCAGCGAGAGTGTGGGCTTTTAATGAGAATCAATTGCCAAGCTCTGCTTTTAATTATGTATCCAGAGCGGAGCAGCGTTAGCTGCTGAGGTGCAGGATCCAGGCTGTCCCTGTCACCTGGCTGTGGGGTGGTAGGTGATTACCGCCCCCCCTGGGCCCCCAATCCCAGAGTCAGTGAAAGGCTCTAGGCTTATCTGGACATGGGCAAACGGGCACTGATTGACACCCTCCCCCTGCGTTAAATGAGCGCTTTCTGATTCGCATCAGAAAGGACCAGGGGACCCTGGGCAGATAAACTCACCATATGAGATGTTCTGTGATTATTAGAAGCCCATGCACCATTTTTTTTTGTGACCTGAATGTGACAAGTAATAGTTCTCTGTTCATCCCACGTCCCTACTGGGTCCCTGAGGACACACTCTTTTCGGGGCTGCATTTTTGCTTCCTCTGATCCTTTGCTTCACCCCAACTCTTTTCTCAGCCCCCCTTTTAATCCACCAGGACTTTCAATAGCTTGTCTCTCAGAGAGGCCAGGTCAGCCCCTTTTCAAGAACATCATTTGGGTTGATGAGGTTGCTCGGAGGCACTGGATCCCGTCAGGACTGCTCAAGGAGCCCCGCTTTGGGCGCCCGAGTCTCCCTGGGGTCAGATGTCCAGCCTGGAGAATGTCTGACTCATTGCAGACGGAGGTCACTGTCAGGGTCCCTGCTTTGCTCCCCGCAAAGAACTGTGGGGTCTTGTTGTTCATACATCCAGAGGAGCGTTTCTTAACCTTTTTGGGGGAACATATCTTTTGGAATCACCCACTGAATGCTAACTTGTGTCTTTGCCCAGAACTGTCTGTTTCCTGCCCTGTGTCCCCAGGTTAGAATTCCTGACCTAAGGGGACTGAGGGGCTGCGTCCAGGGAAAGGCTTAAGGGGGCCGACTGCCCAAGGCTCTGGTGTCTGTTCTCCAGAACACCACCCCGCCAGGCCTCGCGGGCATGGAGTTGTCACATCACAGGCCCTCCTGTGGCAATAAAGTGCCCCATCTTGGAGGTGACCTGTAGTCCGTTTGCTGACAGTTACTTTAATCTGATCCCTGTCCCCCAGTTCAGGGTCATGGGCAAGGCGAACTCACTGGAATTTGTATCCTTATGTCCTCCTCCCCCTGGCATTATCTGGTGACAAGAAGCACCTGAGAATCTTAGAATACAGGCTGATTATTGCAGATCGAGTATGAATTCCTGAACAGTAAGACAAGGGATTTTTTTAAGCCCACTTTTCCTCTAAGCTCTCAAATTAGTAACTTGATTAGACTCAAACAGTTTAAAGAGCCTCCTAGTCATAATTAGCTTGGTAGTCGAATGGGTCCGCAGATGACGATGCCCTCATTAGAGCCACATAAACCGGAGGCCGCTTCGGAACAACTGACGTAGGACTTTCTGTGGCTCCTTCCGCAAACCCCAAAGTGCCGCGTCAGGGAACTCTGGGAAAGGACATCCTTGTAGGTCAGCACAGCCTGGCTTTGTGTACCGGGGGCCTGAGGAAACAACACGGCTTCTCTGCCCCTTCCTCCCTTGGAGCCTCTGAATGCCATGCCATGCCACTTGTCGTTTTTGCTGTGCTGTCCCTGTCCCGGGGAGCGGCCACGTCTGGCTATGTTTTAGAATGCCGGTGTGTGCGGCAGCTGCAGAGGAAGGGATGCTGCCATCAGGTGGCCCCTCCTCGGTTTTCGTGCCAACGATTGAGGTCCTCTCTCTATTTTGTCCTCCGTCTGGTAACTGGGGGGCAGCTGAGGCTCCCTGTCCAGGATCTGAGGCAGAGACTGGACATGATGACACCCTGCAGCCCCCTTCCCCCCTCACTCCCGGTGGGCTGGAGGCTCTAGAATCCTCCTGCGTCCAGCAGAACAGCCTGTGCAGTAACTGTCAGCTTAGTAGGAGTCAGTTTAATAGCACGTGCACTTATTAAACTCCTACTGTGTACCCAAACTGCTCCAGGGCCCTTGGGCCTCAGCCGAAGTGAAAAGGAAATGGTACGAGGAAGTAATTGGGCCTCTTGCCAAGCCCACCCCCCAACTGTGACTTTTCTCTGAGAAATGAAATATGGAGATGGACAGCAGCTCATCTCTCCCAGGCTGCAGACAGTGCACGTGATGAGGTGTGTCAGGACCTAAGCTCGTGTCATGACTGGAGTGGGCCATCTCTAAAGTGACAATAAAGCCATTGTTATTTTGCCAGGAGAGAGATTCATGCTAACATAATTTACCCTTTTAGGTTACCTGAGCTGAGAAAATTTGTTGCCACAGAGATTTAAAAATTAAGAAACAGCATCTTAATGAGCTGGGAGAGATGGGGGTTTGTGGTCCCAGGCGGTGTGTCATGCAGGAGAAAGTGAGTTCGCTCATTTCTCGCGCTTCATTGTTTAAGACAGGACAGTGACTGTCGTGGCATGGCATTGCAGGGAGTGGGGACAGGAGGCAGCTGACCCTTCGAAATGGGAGCTGGGGAGTCACTGACTCAGAGCATAATTGCACAGTCCGCCCTGGACGTGGGCAGTGAACTCTGAGATGCTGCAGGTCAAACTCGCCCTGGGCCCCTCAGGGCCCCTTCACCCCCAGGGAAGCGGGGGCCGCCGAGGTCCTGCTGCTGGCCTGGCGGCTGGGGTCTCCCCTTGGGGCCTGCGCAGCAGATCCTTCTCCCTCCATGGGTGGTGCAGCTAAGGCCGTGATCTCCAATTCCCCCCTCACGTCCTCCATTTGGAGGGACAGTGTGAAGCTGATGGCTGTGTGACAATAGTGGCCTCGGTGAACTTCCCAAAGGTCTCCCGTCTGGAAGTGGAAGGGCAGCCTGAGTTGGTTCCTCAAGGAAACTGGCCTTTCCTCAGATGACCACCTGCCCCCTGGCGCTGTCCCTAGCGCTGGGGAATGGGGGCCTTGAGCGGTCCCCCCCCCCGGGGGGGGGGCAGGGCCGGCCCATGGCACTCAGCACAGCCAACAGACCCCCGCGTCCAGCTGGCTGGCACAGGTGCACGGCCCCTGGCCGGGAGCCTGGCGCTCTCCCTGTCAGCCTCAGTCAGGGGTTAGGGGCCCATGGGATGGAGTTTCCAGCCCGCCTGTCTCAGCCTCAGCGCTGCACGCCGCTCTCCCAGCTAGCCTTTGTGGGCCCACTTGGTCTCACGGTTTGAAGCGGCGATGGCCCCTCTTGCCCTCCCCCTGGCTCTGCAGAGGCTGCCGCAGCTGATTTATCCTCTGCCCCTTGGGAGCCTTAGGACGCCCCTGGCCTGGTGCCTTGTAGGCCGCCTTCTCCCGAGCGTGGCACCCTGCATGCTCTGCCCTAATGTCGGAAGCAGAGGCCTGCTGCTCAGCGATTCCGCCAGCAGAGGGCGCCCACGCATAGCGTCTGTGTTGGAAGCTGCTCTGCCACCCAGTGGAGTGGCCTTCTGGGGCCATCTGGTTGACCTTGTTACAGTTCGAAAGAAGGAGCGGCCCTGCTAATGGACTCTTTCCTTGTCCAGGCCTGAAGCCAGATCCACAGCCCTCTAGCACGATCGAGCGTGAGCGGCTGCAGCCGCAGGCCCTGCCCCTTCCCTCGCCCCTCAGCGGGCCCGTGCTGACACCTCTGGGGGCCGCTGCTCCTGGCCGGTTCTGGGAAGCCCGCTGATTTCCGGCTGGCTTGACTGCACATCCATCAGCCCCAGGCTCTAGGCAGAACTGCACAAGGTGGTGGGAGAGCGGCTGGCTTCACCACCAGGATGGTCCGTGGGGAGGAGGGGGCCCGGGTTTCCTGGAAGAGGGGAAGGGAGGGGGCGAGGTGTGTGCAGAGAAGCCTGGAGCACGTGGGGCGGCCTGGGCGCCCTCTGCAGGGCCCGCTTGGGTCTGACTTTTAATGACCAAGTTGTACCTGGCCTGTGTTGTCAGCACAGCAGGCCTCGCTCTTTCTTTTTTCCTTTCCCCTCTCTCTCTCTCTCTCTCTCTCTCTCTTGCTCTCACTCTCTCTCTCCCCCCCGCCGGTTGCAGTCTTTTGATTTCTCCCTACTTTCTGTTTTGCATGCCCACCGGGAAATGGCAAAAAGCGTAGGTGTGCTTGCACCCCCTGCCTGCCGCCTCCCTCCCTGCCCAGCTCCCTCCAGAGGGCGCTGAAGGGGACAGCCTGCCAGGCTCAGCTTCAGGCATTACAGGGGGTGCGGAGAAGCAGGTGGCCCGGCCCCTGTCCACAGGAAGCTCACCCTCTAGGAGGAGGTCCTCATTAGGATTTACACACAGACGCACTCAAGTGTAGGAACCGAGAAGATGGCCTGGAAGGCTCACAGCTGGAGGGAACGACCAGCTTTGCGTTCACGCTGAGCCGTGAAGGGGTAGGCGCGGCCGTGTGTGATAGGGAAGGGCTGCAGGAACAGTGTGCTCCAGGCGCAGGCGGCTGTGCACCAGCATGTGGTCGCCAGGTCCCTAAGCTGGTTTGCTGGCAGGAGTGGCGGCCGGGCGTGCTTGGGGTCTTCCCGCCTGCCTTCTTAGCTCCTTCTCTGTTCCAGCATCTGCGTTTCCCGAGGACTTCTCCATTCTAACCACTGTGAAAGCCAAGAAGGGCAGCCAGGCCTTCCTGGTGTCCATCTACAACGAGCAGGGTATCCAGCAGATCGGCCTGGAGATGGGCCGCTCGCCTGTCTTCCTCTATGAGGACCACACGGGAAAACCGGGCCCAGAAGACTACCCCCTCTTCAGGGGCATCAACCTGTCAGATGGCAAGTAAGTGGGCGCCACTCGGCAGCCAGTCCTTCTCCTTTCGGACGGGCGGGCGGGCAGGCAGGCTCGCCGGCCGGAGAGCGGGCATGACCACAGGATATGCTGATAGCAGCACGGTGCTGAGAGCCCACAGGTAGAGAGAGCACTGGGCTTGGAGTCCTGAGAGCTGGGTCCCCGTCGCGGGTCTTCTGTGGCTCTGGGGCGTTCTGTCTTCTCCCGGGCCCCTATTTCTCCTTTACAAGAGGCACTAAAGCAGATCAAATGCCAGCCTCTCGGTGTCAGAAGGGACCCGGGAGGTCGTGTGGTTGTACCCTACTTAATGCAGGAAGGATATAAGGAATCCTGATGGGTACAGACACATTAAAGGTGGGAATGAATGATTTAAAAGAAGGCAGATCTTCCCAGAATTGTGTTGGGTGCATCCCTAAACCCTGGTAGTTTTAAAGTCACCTCTGAGGCCATGTGCGGTGAAGCCCTTCAGGCTGTGACCCGCCCCACCCTCCCCCGCTACCCGTATTTCTCACTGATAGTTTTATGAAGATCCCTCGGTTCCAACATTCCCCATCAAACTCGGTTTTCTCCGGCAGCCTGCGGTTTGCTGTGGGGACCCATGAGGCCCACACAAGGCAACACACTGTGTCACCCTGCACTTGACCCCGGCGAGCCCATCCCCGTTCAGAGCCTATGCTCGGGCCTTCCCCATGAGCTTGTGGGTTCAGACAGCTGACCTCGTCTGAGAGACGAGGAATCTGAGGCTTCCAGAGGTGGAATGCCTCTCACGAGGGCGCGTGGCGTGGCTGAGATCTATGCCCAAAAGTGTCTGACTGCAGAGGCTCGGCTCTGAATGGCTCAGCCCGTCCACGACGGTGCTGGAAATAAGACGTCTTCCTCACGTCTCCAGGAATTTGCAGCAGAGTCACCTGCACTGGCAACTGAGCCTCCCTTCACCCTCCGGGTTGTCTGTTTCTTTGCAGGTGGCACAGAATTGCACTCAGCGTCCACAAGAAAAATGTCACCTTGATCCTGGACTGTAAAAAGAAGGCCACTAAATTCCTCAACCGCAGCGACCACCCCATTATAGATGTCAATGGCATCATTGTGTTTGGCACCCGGATTCTGGACGAGGAAGTGTTTGAGGTAAGCAGGGAAGGCAGAGCACCCCGTGCAACACGAGGGGCAGTCCCTGCTCACAGGGAGCCTCCGAGGCTGTCCCAAGGGGTGTTTGTGGCCTGTGGGAATGGAGAGGCCACATGAGGACAGCAGTGGCCTCCCTTGTCCAAGGGCCCCATATCCGTGTTTCCCGGGGACCAGCTTGGGAAGGACATGGGGCTTTGCTGAGCTGTGACCTGAGGCTGGTGGAAACATGCTGCCTCCTGCCTTTGACCTCCGAGGGCTGTCCTGGGACAAGGGGCAGCTGCCTTCTGGGTGGACATGGAGGGCAGAGCTCGGCCAGCCAGTGGGAGTCTCGGGAAGGTGCATGCCACCACCATTCAGAGTGTTCTAAGTCGGCAGTGCCCACTGTGTCCAGCCTGGAGCCCCGCTTTTCTGGGCAGCGCCCAGGGTTCAGCATAAGACAGCGCTGGAAAACTGTCCCCACAAGTAGGTGACGGCTGCAGGTGCCCAAGGTGCACGGAACCACCTGGCGACCTGTAGACATTCTGATCCCTAGGCCCCACCTCCATCCTGGGGGTCCCCAGAGGCAGCGGACAGGATGGGCGGCATTTGCTCCCGACGTCCCCAAGAGCCAGCGTGAGCCCCTGGACATGCTCACGCTCTTGGCCGTGTTTGCATGGCCTGTCCTGTGCCCGGCCAGCCCTGCCTCGCCAGTGCTCACGCCTGAGAGGGGAACCCCGGGTGCCTGCGTCTACTCAGGGAATGGAGGCCCGCCGAGCTGGACAGGCACTGACTGGATCGTGGGGCCCCGCCCAGGGCACCCGAGGGAGAGAGAACGCATGCTTACCGTTCCATTTCTATTTTAATGGTGGTGATGGCTGCCAGTGGGAAGGGCCACCGAACCCACTGGCCCTGCACCTTTGAGCTTGTGAGAAGGATGAAATTCTGGAAGTCCCCTCTTTCTATAAGTCATGCTGGGGGCCATGGGGCATAGCTGAAACACAAGTCCAGGAGGGCGCTGGCCTCAGGGTGGCCCCACGGGCTGGGTGTGTGACCTCAGGCAAGTCATTGTCACATCGCAGAGCCTCAGCTGCTCCACATGGAAAGCGGGCTCACAAACACAGCTGCTTCCTAGGGGCACAGAGGCCATGAGGGTGGATGCGAGCCGCCCCCACACTGCCTTCCTCAGGGGGAAGGGCTGTTCTGGGTATCGGAGCAGGTAGATGTGGGAGGCAGTCCTCTGGTCTGACGTGATGGCCAAGGGCTGACCGGAGCAACCATCTGTGTGGACGCGGGTGAGGGCTGGGGAGCCGGCGTGTAAAGGTGGGTCTGTGGGTCCTGCCGAGCCTGGCAGCCCTCGTGCGGGCAGGTTCCCAGGACAGCTGGGCCTTTGGGACAGCAGGTGGGCTGGCGCTTGGGTCCGGCTGGCACTGCCAATTTTTGCAACTTCTGGAGACCCCGTCTCAGCACACTTCCAACCAGACTTGCCCAGGGACCCAGGATGAACTGGGGGATGGCCAGGACTGTCCTTAGCCAGGCGGGAGGCAGCTTCGGGGCTCTCCTGGGGAGCCTGGGGCTGCACAGACTGGGGTGGGGTTTTGCTGGTGTAGAACTCTTGCTGGTGGGAGGACCCAGGTAAAGCAGGTGACACTGGTGAGCTTTAGGTCTCTCATTTGTAAAACGTGGGACCAGTGATGGCGCCTCAGGAGATGTTTGGGAGCTTACCTGGGCTCACCTGTGAAGCGCTCATCTTGTGTACCTGCTTGAGGAGCCCGGGTCACTGTTGCCACCACCCAAGTTTCTGTTGGAAAGCTCTGAATTGGGAGATGGGAAGGTGTGCGGAGTGTGCTGAGGTCGGCAGCGCACGGCAGACTCGGATTAATTTATCATACAGTAGCTTTTCTGTGTTGTGCCAAATGTTTGCAATTTCTTGTGTCTTTCGTGTGCTCATAGTGTGCCTTTTGTTGGAAAGATTCAGGAAAAAGCTTTGTGTAAAAAAAAAAAATTAGGATCCTAAAAAAATTAGGACCCTTGAGTTTCAAACTGACCCAGAAACGCTGTTTTGCCATGAGCACAAATGCATTCAGAATCCACTGCTGTAGTGAGGTCAGGGCTGGGCTGGAGTCCCAGGGCCAACGTTCAGCAGCCGTGAGGTCATGGGGAGCTGCCCAGCCCGTCTGAGCCTCAGTGTCCCCCTCTGTCAAATGGGGACAATAACAGCTCCCACCCCATGGCACACACATGTGTAAGTGTGTGTGTGTGTGTGTGTGTGTGTGTGTGTGTGTGTGTGTGTCCCACAGCCAGCATTCCATAACTGGTCCCTACTGGCCTTATTATAGGATGGAAACGATTTATAATTTTCTAGAAGAAATAGATCTCAACTTGACAGTCCATTTCCCTTCTCCGCTTGCCTCTCCAACCGACAGGGCAGGTCTCGCGGTGCGGCTAAAGGCGGGCGGGCTTTTCACGGAGACCACAGGTCAAGAATTCGTTCAGAATTCTGGAGGGCCCCTCTTCCGGTCGTAGTGTTGGATTTGAGGGAGAGTGGCTGCCAGGAAGGAGGGGTTTTGTTGACCACAAGTTGTTCATGTTCCGAACGGGGTGTTTTCCTAGCCGCCGACTGCTGTTAGACCCGTTCACGGTGGAAAATGCGACCTGTGTTTCTTAAAGATGACCAGTGGGACACGGTGACGCCTTTGGTGGCCCCAGACCACCTTTTTTCCTTTTGGTTTTTTTCCTTCATAGGGCAGGGATAAAGTCGGGTGGGTTGGCCTCGTATTCCCAGCCACCCTTCATCTCTTGGCGAGTGAGTCAGAATTTTTGCTTGTTTTGAAATAAAAGTGATTTAACTCCTTGCCTTCCAGCAGATCCCAAGTAATGATACTTCACATTCTAACCACTTGGCTTCTAGAGAAGGCTCTTTAAAAGGAGGGGCCGGCAGCATGGAACACTAGTTCTCCAGCGGCCACGTTCTCCCCCTGGAAGGATGACTTCCTCTCATTAAGAGCCAATTTGTCCTGCAGCTCCGCAAGGGGATGCTGGGAACTTTGGTGGAGGGCCAAGTCACCCTGGCACCACTCGCTGAGTTTTGTGCTCAACTCTGTTTCCAGGCAGGATTTGCCAAACTCTAGAGTCTGTTGGGGGCACTGGAGTTTTTCCCGGGGTGCGTGTGGCCCCACAGAGGCCCCCCCCCCTTTCCACAATGAAGCACTGTTGAGGGGGAGACCCGGGGATGGAGACTGAAAGCCGACAGAGGCGCTTCCCCTGCAGTGCAGGGCCCAGTGTTAGCCGAGGGCACCCTGGCCTCCCTGGGTGTGTGGCCGACGTGGGACTGGTAGCCCCTGTTCCTTCGCTGTCCCCAGCCCTGGTGAGCCTGGCTCCAATGGGGCCTCCCTGTGGTGTGGGGGGTGTTGGGCATTCTAGTCCCTTCCAAACCCACCACCGCGACATTCCTGGGACGTGTGTGTCCTGTGCCCTGTGCCCTTCTGGGATGTGCCTGCGCCCTGGGTCCAGTGAGCAGCCAAGGGTCCCAGGGCACCTCTCCCACCCTCTGATGGGGAGTAGGTGCTGGGCCGGCCGAGGGCCCACTGTGGGGGGAGCTATTCTTCAGACCCAGATGCAGAGGGGTCCTGTGGGCCTCACGAGCAGGAGAAGTCTTGTTTTTATCCAGGGCTTAGGAATGATTTTGTGTTGTTAGAAACACAGGCTCGGCTGCCAGGGAGAGCACGGGCGTCTGGCAGGCGGTGGGCAGTGGTTGTTTGTCTTCAGTGGCAGAGCTGGACGGGAGTCTGGTAAGCGCCGGCACCGGCCCGCAGGGCCCCATGACAGCATGCCACCTGTGTGCTCTGCCCTCCCATCAGGCCTCCCCGTGCCTGGGAAGCCAGCACCGGAGAGGCTGAGGGACCTGCCAAAGGTCCCCCAGCAAAACTGTGGTGGAGTGGGGTTGTTGCCAACTCTGTTGTCGAGAGCCGATGGTTCTGTTCTGAGGTCATGACGGACTGTGGATGCAGTGGTCCCAGCGGTTCCTGTGTCTCTCTGTCCACCTGACCGAGGGAACCAGGAACTCAGAAATCAGGTCATGACCTTCCCCAGCCAGGGCGGATCCTGGGTGGCTGCTTTGTTCCCATGGCCCTGTACACGCCCCAGGGACATTGGATTCCCCTGGCCCGTGGGGTCTGTGAAGCCCAGGAACCTGCAAGGAAGATGCAGGACAAGCCGTCAGCAGGGGCGGTGGCTGCCAGAGCTGGGTTCCCGGTGCGGCCGCTGCCCTCCCCGCAGAGCGCCTGCCCCAGCCCAGGCCGTGACACAGGGGCTGATCCCGGAGTCAGTACACCCTGCCCTTGCGCTTGGGTCACCTGGGGACCTGGAGCTGGCCAGCATTCTAGGTGGAGGGGTCTTCAGGGGTGGGACCGGGAAGCAGGGCAGGGCCTGGGGCTCAGGCAGGGCAGGCCTCTGCTCGGGGCTCTGCGGTGGAAGGACCCTCCCCTGGGGTGACCCTCCCCTGGGGTGAGCCACATGGAGGGGGCGCGGAGGAGGAGGCCACCTCGGGACGGGGAGCCAGTGAGCTCTGGGCCGGGAGCCAAATCCGCTGCAAAGCTGTCGAGTGTTTCAAGGGGCAACAAGACCAAACAGACTGTGAATTGGGCTGTTCTCTGCAGAATGCCCAGTGTCGGCGGGAAGATGACAGCCGTGCGCCCGAGCAACGTCCCTGTGTCCGCCTGCCCTCCTTGCAGCCGCTTGGAAAGACCCAGCGGCTACCTAATGCCCAAGTCCCTTTTGCCTGGGGCCTGGCTTTTCCAGCTTCACGTTCTTTCCTGCAATTCTGCTTTCCTGGGGCAGGAACGGGGCCTCTGCCAAGCAGGCGCTGTCTTAGCAGTCACGGAGGCGGCCTGGGGTTCCTCACGTGAATGGTGACTGGCGTCAAGGACTGGAAGAGTGCTTGGCCCCAGAGACCCAGGTCCACGTCCTCACTCTCACTGCTCCGGCTGTGACCTCGGACCCTCCAGGAAACATCCTGTCACCCA